TGTCACAGTCCAGTCCAGCGTGAGATTCTGTTTTGGTTTGAGTTGGTGCAGAAATGGATGTTGAAAATGCGGGCAGTGTTTTCCATCGTCTCATGTCCAGGTCTGGAATGTCCCTGGCATCATGTTCTGACGTAGAGTTGTTTTTGGGAATGGGTCACGTGACCAACACCATTGTCTTATTATGGCTTCTCTTCAAGGTGAAAGAAAAAAACCTGCATCAAGTTGACCTTTGACCTGGTATAAGTGTTGACTGAACACAGTGTGTGTGTGTGTGACTGGACAGGTTTTTGTCATTCCAGGTATCCTGGAGTTCTTCCATCATCAGCTCAAGGACATCATTGAATACGCTGAGCTCAAGACCGACGTCTTCCAGAGTCTGAGGGAAGTTGGAAACGCCATTCTCTTCTGTCTGCTCATCGAACAAGCTCTGGTAAGACGTGGACTCCAGGCTTCATCACTGTAGCATCGTTGACATGGTCTGCTTTATGTTGACCACGCCCACTTCCTTCTTTCTTTCTATTCTTCCTTCCTTCCAGTCTTCTTCTGTTCTTCTCATCCTTCCTTCTTTCCTCATCCTTTTCCTCTGTTCTTTTTTTCATCATTTGCTTCGTCTTCCTTCTTTCCTTCCTTCCTTCCTCCCCTCTCTCCTCTGCTCTTTCCTTCTTTCCTCTCTTCTTTCCTCCTTCCTTGATTGTTTGGATCTTCAGTGTCCTTCTCTAAGATACAACTCTATTTTGCCTCTATTTCACGCTGACGTTGGCCTCAGGTGGTAAGGATTCAGGTTTTGTCATTAATCCAACACTGAATGTGAATTTTCTTTTTTTTTTTTTTTAATCCTTGTTCGTCTGCCCTTCTTTGTTTGTTTGTTTGTTTTTTCTTCACTTTGTTTGTTTGACAAAAATGACGTCTAATTAGTCATGGATTTCACTGGACCAGAACTGGTTGTTTTGATTTTTCACCTCTTCCGTCTCTGAACGTCCTGGTCTTCCATGAGGCCACGACACTTTTCTGTTTGGTTGTTGATTCAGTTTCACAGGTTCACTCCACACTCTGTGGTGTGTGTGTGTGTGTGTCCTCATCACTGCATGGCCCCCGCCTCTCCTTCACCCCCCACCCCCCTCCCCTTTAGCTGAGTCTTAAAGATGCTGCATCTCTGCATGTTTGTTTCCTTTCATGACTTCAAATCCTCTTCTAAAAGTATTTGAAGTATTCTGAAGTACTGGACAACAGTGGTTCCACGTTGTTGGAGAATCTCACCAGTGTTCTGATTGTTTTGAATCCCAGTCTCAGGAGGAAGTGTGTGATCTGCTCCATGCCGCTCCTTTCCAGAATATTCTGCCCAGGGTCTACATCAAAGGTACGGATCACCGTTGGATTTCTCTTCATTTTACATATAGTGTTCCAGAGAATTCTCCCTTTGGATCTCTGGGTTGTGTAAAATGGGACGGGGGCTGGAGGGGTTGGAGTGGGGGGGGTGTACTGTAATTTTATGAACCAGTCTGCAATGTTGTGTGTCTCCCACAGAGGGAGAGCGTCTGGAGGTGAGGATGAAGAGGCTGGAGGCCAAGTACGCTCCTCTCCACCTTGTTCCTCTCATCGAGAGGCTGGGAACCCCACAGGTGAGGTTAAAGCGTGATGCATTCAGGGACACGATCAGAATCACCACGGACAAAATCTGATTCGTTTTACATTCACGTCTCGTGTTCACACCCAGGAGCTGCGATCCACATGTTTTACATTTTGTAAAAGCAGGTGGATATTTCTGTCGTTCCAGGTCAAGGACACCTTCAGGGAACACAGTCAGATTTGTTCCAATGTTAAACTGAACAGAAAATCACAGGTGAACTGTAAACCCTCACTCACATCAGGTCAATCCTTTTTTTTCCTTCTCTCCTCCACCAGCAAATCGCCATTGCCCGAGAGGGCGACCTGCTGACCAAAGAGCGCCTGTGCTGCGGCCTTTCCATGTTCGAGGTCATCCTCACGCGCATCCGTAGCTTCCTGCAGGACGGTGTGTGGCGTGGACCCCCACCCACCAACGGCGTGATGCACGTTGACGAGTGTATGGAATTCCACCGCCTTTGGAGTGCCATGCAGTTCGTGTACTGCATCCCAGTGGGCACTCACGAGTTCACGGCAGAGTGAGTAACGACGTCGCCACCGCAGCCCATTGGTCAGCCCAGTCTGACCAATAGGTGTACAGTATTTAACTGTTGCATAGACAGAATATTAGCAGTGAATAATTATAAACATTTCACTCAAAGTGAAGTTGAAGGTTTATGTGACGTACGACCTCATGGATCGACGGTGTTGATGGTTCGTTCTCTTCTAGGCAGTGTTTTGGAGATGGCCTGAATTGGGCCGGCTGTGCCATCATCGTGCTTTTGGGACAGCAGCGTCGCTTCGACCTCTTCGACTTCTGCTACCACCTGCTCAAAGTCCAAAGACAGGACGGCAAGGACGAGATCATCAAAAATGTGGTTTGTATTTTAGAATCTCTGCATCGACTCCACACACAGATGTTTCTTTTTTTTTGTGGTCTTTGATGGACACACATCTCCTTTTGTCCTGTGTAGCCTCTGAAGAAGATGGCAGACCGCATTAGGAAGTACCAGATCCTCAACAACGAGATATTCGCCATCCTCAACAAGTACATGAAGGCGGTGGAGACGGACAGTTCCACGGTGGAACACGTCCGCTGTTTCCAGCCTCCTATACACCAGTCCCTGGCTACCACCTGCTGAGAAAGACCTTTCACACTTAGTGCACACACACATACACCCCCCCACCCCCCTCCCACACACACCCATAGCTGTGATACTAATTTCTGCCTCTAGGTGATATTGTACCGGTGAAAATGCCGTGGCTCCGTGGGTGAGGAATTCTCTGAAACTGCTCCGTTTTCTTTCCCGCTGTCTTTGTCTTTAACCCATAGGAACAGTCCAGACCACAGGTGGACACACAGGTGGACACACAGGTGGACACACAGGTGGACACACAGGTGGACATGTTCAGTCAAACCATTTCATTTTACTTTCTTGTGGCTGTCATGTGGATTCATGCATGTCTCCTTCATTTCCTCCTGCCAGTCACTGAGCTTAAAGAACTAAATACAAAACTAAAAATGTTCAAACAGAGTTCAAGACAAAAACAACCCTCAAACAAAACGGGAAATGATGCAACAATTTTCTAAATTGTTTTAGTTTTTCTTTTAAAGTACAACATGCTCCTGGTCTCAGTTAATGTTACATTTCACTGATTTTTGTCATCGTCCAAACTCATTTGTACTATAACAACTCGACCTGCCTGCGTCATAGCATACCGTGTCTCTAACGATGCATTCAAATGCTGCGGAGTGACGTCACAAATCTGTTATTTAATTTGTTTTTAAATTCTGTCTGGGTTTTAATGCTTTCTCCGCTCCAAACATTTTTACTCGGTAACACTGTAAATGTCACTGTTGAGCAAAGTGAAGTGTTGTAATTGTTCTTGTTTTTAATTATTAATATTTAATTTACACACATGCTGGGTATGGTTGTCTGACATGAAGAACGTCATCCTCCCTGATTTCCTCTCCGTTCTTGTCCGTCTGTCTGGAGATTTTTTATATTCTTTACATGAATCGATTGGCGTTCCGTTCGATTGGGACACGTGTTCATCCGGGTCGATGTGTTTGCTTTTACAAGAGTTAGGAAAAAAAATTAACAAAAGAAAAGATCGTAGAAGGAAAAACAAAAAAACCTCTCGGTTGCAGTGTTGTGCTGAGTGAAGCTAAATCTGAGAGTGAATGAATCACAGAGGAAAACAAAGGAAAAATAATCATGACTAAAATGTCTGTTATATTAAAGGGCAGTTTCCTATATAATCAGTATTTACTGTTAATGTTTCTTTTTCTTTAGATTGAGCAGAGTTATTATGATATGCAAAAAAAATCTTATTTTTTTCATATGAAATAGGAAATATTATGAATAAGGAACATTTCCCACACACACCTTTTTCTGCTGCCGTTCAAATGAAGAAAGTTTCTTTTTGTAACTCTGGTGTATTTTTATCATATTTATTCAACTACAACTTGTTTTCATTTTAAAAAAAAGGTTGATCTAGTAAAAAAAATTAAGGTACTGATGTTGAAACCTTAGCATGGCAGGTGTAAGTTATTGTCATCAATGGCTCCATTTGTGACACAAGGTTTTTGTTTATGATATTGTTGTACAAGTGACCATGTTTTCAAGTACAAAAAAAAGAAGTAAAAAACTGTACGACCGTGGTCCTGCAAAAGATTTGAAATTATGTTGTATTTCCAAGAAATAAAAAAAAAAAGTTTAACTGAAACTATGTATTTACAATATTGGTTTACAGTGGGTTATACCTTGAAGTGCAGTATTAAAGTTGTCAACTGACTCATCTCTGCAGGTTCTCCTGGGCCTTTCCTCATCTAGAACTTTTATTGAGTCCCGTGTATCTGGAGTTGGCAGAGGCTAAGAGTGATACAATACACATTTATTCAAAAAATGCCCTTGAGAAGAACATCAAATATGCAAAACTCAGCTGTGCAGCACCCATATATTTATGATATGAAATAGACGAGGAAATAGCTGAAAAATATGTACTTAATTATAAATAATTAAAGTATTAAGTTAGCTTATAGTACTAAATAGGGGTGGGAGGTGGATTCCGGGTCAAACGTTTATTTATTTATGTTCTCTAATGTCTCTGTGGGGGCTCCGTACATAATAATACAAAGGTTTTTGTTTTTTTTTAATTTAATATAGTCCTCCTTTAACACGTTAGCTCAAACTAAGTTAAAAAAAATCCCAAAAGATCTTCTAAATCGAGCCAAAGTATGGCTGGTATTTCTGAGAGGTCTGAGAAATGATTCCATTTGAAAACATCTGACGTGTACACGCAGCGTCGTCGGATTTTTGATGCTGGGTTTCTATTGGCGGGTTTGACGTAAACGTACGCGTGACGTAATTTTGAAATTTCAGCGCTCAAGACTTCTGGTACATTCGACAGTCGACATCTTCCAGAGGCGCTCAAGACTTCTGGTACATTCGACATCTTCCAGAACTGTGCTGTGGCTGTTGTTTGGTCTGGCGGTGAAATGTCCTTTCCTCGAGCCGCGCTGAAGAGGTTTAACGAGCACACGGGTATGTGACAGTCGAACCGAGCGGATATTAATAATTAAACGCTTCGGTTTGAGCGGTTGTAGCGATTAGCAGCTGCCATATTAGCTTAGCTTTGTACTTACGTTCAAATGAGTTCCTTTGACAACTGCGAACTACATGTTAACATTTACTATATCAATTCTAATTAACGTTGTACTGTTTTTTTAACGTGTACGTGAATAAAGAATAGTGTGTTGTTGAATTGGCGCAGCTCATTTTTTTTTTTTTTTGGCCGAAAGCTGTGCTCCTGCCCCGGGCACCTATGATGTTAAAACCGGGGACCCGAAAGGTGCTGCGACCTTCAACAGGTCGGACCGGTTCAGAGCACTTAAAGCAGGTGGGGATCATTTACTCTCTCTCTCTCTTAAAACATATTTAAAACTCTTTCACAACTATCGACTAGATTGTCTGAAATTAAAACGTTTTTTTGACATTAGCAGCCGGAGCTCTGCCTCCAACTCCATCACCTTCTAAAAACGCCCTGATTTCACCTGTCCGTAGGACGATGTCAGTCGATGCCCTGGTAGGTTTTCTGGTTGATTTATAATATTTATGGTAACGCGACTGTTGTAGCCGTATTCGTCAACAAACCACTCCTTGTTTTGATCTATGAAAACACAGGCTAAAGGGTCAAGTGTGAAGGAAGAGAGGAACAGCCAGAGCCTGGAGAGGAAACAACAGAAACTCCTGGAGAAGGAGGTACTCTCCATCCTCTGCACCAGCCTCATGTGATAGTGTGATTAAATTAAAATAACCAAACATAACATAGTGTATTGAATCTGAAACCTGGTCCTTGAATCCTTTTCAGATCAGATCTCTAGTTCAGCAGCGTGGGGAGCAGGACCGACGTTTGCTGGCCGTGGAGGAAAACCTGAAGAAGGTGGAGGCCAAACTGCTGGCTGCAGTCAGGGAGAAGACGGGTCTCTCTGCCACGGTGACCACGCTGGAAAGACAGAGGACTGAGCTCAAGAAAGTCAACGAGTTTCTAAAGAACAAGGTGCGTTTGGTTTTGGGCTTCATAGAAGAAATGTTTGTTTTGATCAAACTAAATTCAGCTCATTTGTTCCTTTCGTTCTCAAGGTTTCTGCAGATGTCACAAAGAAGAGAATCAATTCTCTGACGATGGAGCTGATGGAGGCCAGGAACAGTTTAGACATCAAGGACAAGGTGTGTCTTTACTTCATCAGTTAGACTCTCAGAGTGACTGGTTCTCAGATGAATCTCAGCTGACACCACCCTAACACAATAAGTAATAAATAATTTGGCTGATATTCAAGTAAAACATTACAGAAATTAGTGTTAAAAAAACATTTTTGTGTGTTTGCTGCGGCAAGATCGAATCCCGGTTAGGGCGGTTGGCGCCCTCTAGTGGACTCGCCACCCGCAGTCCATTTTGTAGCAACACATGTATCTCGCTAAACAAATATAAAATAAATAAAAGTATAATAAAAATTATAATTTTATAAAATTCTAATTTTAATTATATAAGAAAAAATAGTAAAATCATATAAAAACCATGCAGCACCAGAAGTCACACTCAAGGTAAGAAGTATTTTATGCATTGGATAGTATAACAATGTTATTCATTTTTTAAATATCTGTAATAACTTTTTTAATACTGCGAGAGAGAGACTTATTATATATAAAAATTCAACCATTTAGTTTAGTATTCAGAGAAATACATCTGCTTTCATCTCTGTTTTCACTGATGGACCTGTTGCCTGGTGCTGTCGTGTGTCCAGGAGTTGAGTGTCCTGCAGGTGAACACTGAAGGTCGACTCACTGCGTTAGAAACTGATCTCCAAGCTGCCAGATCTACAGTCACTGCATTAGAAGACAGAAACAAGAACCTGGGTGAGGGTCTGGTTTTTTTACTAACTTTTATTCTTTCACTTAAAGAAACCAAGATTATGAGACAACAGAGTTAATAATCATTCAATTAATCATTTCAGTTTGTAGAGTTTAAAAACATGTTATTGACAACATTCCTGATAGTAATCTTTATATAATTAATCCTGTCATAGCTGCTCACAAACTGAGAGACTTTAACAAGTGTTTCAGTTGTAGTGTGTGTTTATTAATCCTCCTTTTGGTTTTTTATAGAGGACCTTCATCAAGTCACAAAAGTCCAAAATGAAGAGCTGGAGAACGAGAATAATAAACTTCACGGTGAGTTTTCTTCATTTGTTTATTGACATAATGGTGAGAATCAACGTGTAAACATGAACGGCTCGATAACTGAATGTTTGTTTGATTTTCCAGCTCTGATTCAGGAGCTGAAGGAGGAGATCGTCGTCCTGCAGGAATACTTGGACACAGCCAACGACCAGATCCAGGTACGAAGGATAGGTTTGACTAATCCACACAGACAGTTATTCTGGGTCACGTGATAAAAATCTGGTTAACACAAATTTTTCTTATTTTAAATAAATTTGACTTCATCTGTATTCTGCAGGATCTCCGTCTGCAGCTCGAGGCAAAGATGCAGGAAACATCAGACGCAAGTTCTCACCTGGAGGAAATGAAGTAGGTCGACGCTCCACGGGTTCTTCAGGTAAACGTTGAGCTGTTCTACATGTCATATATTTGACACTTCTTCACAGGCGGCTGGAAACTGAACTGAAGCAGAAAAACTCTGAGCTGGAAAACACTCTGGAAATGCTGAGGCAAAAAGAGGAGGAGGCTGTGATGATGCAGCAGCAGCTGGAGGCATCTAAGGAGGCTTTAGGAGGAGTGGAGGAGAGGCTGGAGCAGCAGGACAAGGAGCTGCAGGTGGCACAGAGTTCAGTACGAGACATGGAGGAGCAAATGACGTCGGCCAGGCTGGAAGTCCACAGCTTTCAAGCCACGGTGCAGCAGCAGGAGGCAGAGCTGGCCCGGCTGAGGGAGGCGCTGGGGGAGACGGAGAAGGAGCTGCAGGAGCGGGTGGCCGGCCTGGAACAGCAGTGTCGTCTGTCCGGAGAAGAAAGAGGTTTGAAAATCCTGTGTCTGTTGTTAGAATTCAGAAAGAGTGAGAATAAAACTGCTGAACTGTTGACGTTTGGTTCAGACAAAGTCCAGGAGGAGAGCGTGAGGAGGATCCAGGAGTTGATGTTGGAGCTTCAGCTGCTGCGAGGAGCTACAGTCGACCAGGACAAGGAGCAGAACCAGCTGCAGCAGGAACTCACCAAAGAAAAGGTTAGAGCAGAGGTGCCCAAAGTGGGGGGCGCAGAACTGGGCAGGACATGCTGACGTTCAAGTTTTTTTGTTCTTTTTTTTTTTTTTGTCCCTCAGTGATGAAATGACACTCAGTCGTGATCTTATTTCCTTTGTTCAATGGAAGAGATGTTGACGTAGAAAGTACCGTCAGGGAAACGTTCAGTGAAACTGTTTGATATCTGTGAATGTGATGAAAGAGGATGAAGCGCCATCACTGTTTATTATAATTTTTTTTTTTAAATTTTTCAGGCCCTGGTGGAGCAGGAGAGAACGAAATCTGAGGAGCTACTTGATGAGTTGGAGGAGGTGCTGGGAGAGCTCGCTCTCATGGAGCAGCAGGAGCTGAGGAGTCGGGAGGTGGTGGAGAAACATCAGCAGACCCTGCAGCAGCTGCAGGAGGAGAAGACTGAGCTGGAGAGACAACTGGACGACACCAGGTCACAGCTGGAGAGGCAAGTGTCAAAGGTCATGCACACACAGCAGGTGGTTTTCACACCGTACATGTTTTTGTCACTACATTCAACTCAAGATGAACACATTATAAATGTTTGAGTTGTGACTCGTCAGGTTCATACACATGATTGACAGGTTCAGGCTCTGTTTCTGTGAATGGAGTTTGAAGTGTTTGTATTTTAAATTATCAGCTGGAGAACGAGAATAATAAACTTCACTAAACTTAAACTAAACTTCCTTTTTTTTTTAATGAACTACTTGTTTGTTTTGTCAGTAATTTGAATTCTCCAGTTTTCATGTTTTGAATGTTGCTTCAGAAATAAAAAATAATAATTATAATAACATTTGACATGTTGCCATAACACTGCTGTTAATGATTATTTTGTCCCAGGTTCATTTTCCTGCTCCACTAACACAGACTGTCATGACATAATGTCTCCACCGGTGACAAAAGCAGCAGCAGCAGCTGGTGAAGTACTGACTTGACGTTTGTGTGTTTTCTATCCGCAGCACGGGCCGCGACTTGGCAGCTTTAAAGGAGGAGCGTTTGTCAGCTTCAAGACAAGAGCAGGAGGTGCACAGCAGCTCCCTGAAGGAGATGGCAGACGTGGTGACAGAGCTGGAGAGGTGAGCGCTCCAGTGTCAGTGTTTCCCAAACACGGCTGTGATTCATGTCAGCGTTTACCTTTGGATCCTGTCACGGTCTGAACCTCACACGCCGCTTGTCTTTTTAGCACCAGGCAGGCTCTGAAGGAGCGGGAAGACGAGGTGCAGAGGGTTAGCAAGGAGATGAAGGAGGAGATGGACGAAGTGGTTAAACAGAAGGAAGAGGAGCTCCTCAGGATGAAGGAGGAGCACCAGGAAAGACTGTCAGCTGAGGCCAAGGCCAGTGACGACACTTCGAGGTAAGATTCAGGTTCGTCCCAAACTCCGGCTGAGACGTCTGTCGCTGCCTTTCTACAGCTGTTTCTGTTTCTTCCTGAACTCCACAGACTGTTGCTGGAGGTGCAGGCCACACTGGCCAGGAAGGACCAGGAGGTGGAGGCCATGGAGGCGACCCGGGCTGACCTGATCACTCAGATACAGCTGCAGAGAACGGAGACAGAAGCTGCTCTGAAACAGCTGCAGACGGAGAAGGAAACGACAGAGAAACTCCTGGAGGAGGTCGGTCTGGCCAAGGAGGAACTGTTCCAGAAGCTGCAGCAGGAACGTGAAGAGAGAGTTAAAGTTCAGACAGCTCTTCAGGACAGTGTGGAAGCATTAGAGGTTGAAAGGAGAGGCCTCCAGCAGGTGAGGTCAGACAGCGTCCGACTGCAGACGGAGGTCCAGAGGCTGGAGCAGGAAAATAAGAACCTTCAGTCTCAGGTGGAACTTCAAGACCAGTCCAGACTCCTGCTTGAAGATCGACTCAATGAGGCCGAACAGAACCGGGATCTTCTGCAGGCTCGTCTGAACGATGTTGGACAGGAGTGTGTGAACCACCAGGCTCAGTTAGAACTCACCAGTGACCTGAAGAACCAGCTCGAAAAACATCGACGAGCCAGGGAGGCCCTGCAGCAGCACGTGGAGGTGCTGTCCCAGGAGAAGGTGACACTGCTGTGGGAGATGGAGGAGCAGCAGCAGGAGCTGAAAAAACTGGAGAAACAAGCAGAAGAAAAGAGGTGTGTGTGT